GAGCATTGGAACAGGTTGCCCAGAGAGGTAGTGGAGTCTCCTTTGCTGGAGCTATTCAAAACCCGTCTGGATGTGATCCTGGGCAATATGCTCTAGAGGACCCTGCTTGAGCAGGGAGGTTGGACTAGCTGATCTCCAGAGGTCCCTTCCAACCTAAACCAATCTGTGATTCTGTGAATGGCCGCCCCTATTTGATCATGTGTAATGCTGATGCAGAGGTTAGGCAGCAGAAGTATACACTAGAAAAAAACATTTGTATGATGACATTTCTCTTTTTACAGACACCTAAGCAAAAATATCTAAAAATTAAGCCAGGAATTGCTATAATAAAAGAGGTACCCACTTATGCAACAGGAGGGCAGAAAGATGCTTCTTTTTAAAGCATATGCCAAGTTGTATCCGAGATATTTCCTTCCAAAAATTTAGGTGCATCAGAGAAAGAAATATCAAACTGAACTAGTCTGGGCTTTCATGTGAAATTATAGAATGAAGACTCCATGCTTGTTTCAGGTTGATACTGGTATTGACTTTTCAATAACAAACACATAACAGAATGCAACTCCTTATATTATTTAGAAATCATCCCCAAGTTTAAAATAAAACACAAACAAAATAAAGAGAATAGACATAATATTATATATTGCAATAATGAAAAAAGCACATTTTAAGGATGGCTTAACCATTTATCCTGAAGTATAAGAAATAAAAAGGAATCATAACACCATGATGGAAACAAATCTTAGACTTTTACCTTTGTGGCAGCATCAAAGCAGACAAAGCCCATGCTGAAGTCAATGGTAAGTCCCATAAGATGACTCTCCAAAACACAGGCATATGTCTTGGACTGTAAAAGAAAAATCAGAAAAGGTAGTTACTACAGTATACAATTCTTCAGCTTCCTTCTAGGGCCAGCCCTTCTGTGTCTTTATTCTAATGCGCATATCTCAAATTTATTATAAGAAAGAAGTCATTTCAGGCCAATTCATTGTGAGTATATCCCAAATCAAAGGATTTATATCAGTGATGACATTTTCTAAGTATTGTAAAAAGAGGCTTTACTTCTATTAAGGAAATAATAAATCAGAATTGAACAGCCTTGGTGGCTTACAAAATGACAACTGCTAAACAGGAAGTTTCATTATCTCATATTCATTCTACAAGATGAAACACAGAATCTTCCCCTAAACATTAACATAGCCAGCTTTTTAGGAAAAAAAATGCATTTGTAAAATATCTATTTGGTATGCTGTTTATTATTTGGTGTCCTCCTAAATCTCAGTGAAAAAGACGGTATTTCAATATCATGTATCATTTCAATATCAATATCATTGATGTAATCATATGAAATAGCTTTTTGCTTTAGCTACTACATCTCAAAGGTTTCTATGAGAAAACCTTGAAATCCTGAAAGACTTTCTCATTCTATTTTTTTTTTAATATTTATCTATTTATTTCCATAACATCAGACTTTGATACATGGCTTGAGACATCTATTAGTGACATTTTCAGGATCAAAATTATTGCTGTGCCTGAGGGTTGTCTTCAGGTTCAAAACAATAAGCTTGAATTTTTCACCAAAAAACCTGTCAAAATGTTAAATTATTTTCAAATTTGATGTAGTAAATGCTTTAAAAAGGCCATTCTTATTTTATAGAAATTTTACCCTTCACATTAAATGAGATAGATATAATTATATTCTTCAATTCTCGCTTACACCCCTAAAGGTACGAAATGAGAAAAAAAAAATATATGATCTATAATGCGCTAAAGAACCAAAACATAAATTATGAATTCGAACACAATGATGTAAGTTACTAAATTATCAATGTTACAAAGGTGTGTGTCATTATTTATGGCATTTTGGTTATCAAGGGAAATATTAAGACTAAATCAGATGCCTTTACTTAGATATTCTTTGGATATGCATCTAAGTGGTCTTCCCCAGAACACAAGAAGCTGGAAGGCTCATTTACAGCTCCTAAGAGATGATATAGACATACTGATGCTGATACCAAAGGCAAAAGAAAAGTTCATAGCTATATGGATTCTTTTGTTGTTTTAAATTGAGTTTCTCACATTTTAATATAGATTTTTTTCCTGGCACTAAAATATTCACGAGAATTGCTTTCCTAGATCAAACTAGGTCTCAACTGCATCCAAAGAGTTGTTGGATAAATTTGGTCTGCACGTCCTGGAGCTCAGGTATAGTGATGTGTATCTCTCCCAAGACGACTCTGTATTAGCTGTCAGTAAGGCGCATGAGCAATCTTTAAATCAGTCTATAGACAAAGTATGCCAATCCATGGTTCAGAAGCAGAAGCAATCCATGGCCTAGAAGATGAGTTTTGCACTATCGCTCAGTAACAGTAAATCATATGTTATTGTGTGATTCACCAAAGGTGTTTAAAAGCTGTAATTGTCACTTCCTAAAGAAAAGATTTCCTGCTGCTGCTGTTGAGGTGAAAAGCAATGACAGGTCTATTGTGGTAGCTTCCAACACTGAAAGAACTTAACATACTCCACTGCATGTCTAAAATGTGAATTTATATGGCACAGACCTGCACTCAGTTATTATAATTACCAGTGCAGGAAAACAACAACTTTAATTACAAAATCCATGAAATTCTGTGGTGTCAGAGTGATATTTTATTTGTTTTATATCAGCAAATAAGAGTGGCTCTTTTTGGAGTGGCTACACCATAAAACTGCTATGAAAATGTAAACTTTGATCCTGAATGAGTGTTGTTAGAAAAAGAGATGATTTTGCCTTTTGCAAAGTCATATATTTCCCATTGAGTCTACTTAATGAATTGTCACATACCGAAATGTTGAAGTCCTGCATGCAAAACAAAAATGTACAGTTTTGTACAATTCTCTTGATAACTTGCAGTAAAGGTGAAAAAAATAACAACTTATTTATTTCCGTACCTCCAGTTCATCTAGAACAGACATACAGTCTTTACTGAGTACTGAAATTTGGCAAGGAGACAATATCTCACTTAGACATAAAATATGTACTGCTGTCTAACTCATCTGACCTCCTACCTCAACACCCGAGGTCTGATCTACATTGCAGCACCATACTGAGCTGGCAGACAGTATTGCGTAAGCACAGCGTCGTGCCTGGGCTAATTAGCCTCACTGAGAAATTAAGATTTATGAGAAGCAGGACATATCAGCCTGGGTTCAATGCTGCACTGAAAAAGTTACCTGCCTCCTAGACTGAAGGTAGTCTTTCTGCAAAGCAGCACACAGCTGGTGCAGAAATATCACAGTGTGGATATCGGTAGGAAAAAACTGCATTGCAAGGTGCAGATCATCAGTGGAGTAGTTGGTTTTTACTTACATGTAAGATCAGTCTATGCCTTCAGGATATGTATTTCAAAGATATTCAAAACAATTAACATAAGCAAAAATCTAAAAACAATAATAGGATCTGTGGACAGCAAGATTTTAGTGTATTTTCGGAAGAATGTCCTTTTTATTATGCACGTTTGTAGCATAAGATTCTGGTCACAGGTCAGAGCTAGAATGGGAGCTTTAAGACACTCATTAACACTGCTCAAAATTTTCTCATCTTTATTTTCTCTAATTTGTCTTTTAAGTTAGGCATTTGGAGAAAACAAAAATGAAGAAATACTTCACAGGAGACTTAAGAATTTAAAAGTTCTTGTATATTTGATATGCATTTTAAAGCCTTTCAATTGACTGTTAAAAAATATCATGATTGTTTGTCTTTGGCTCCTGATTTCTTACATAGAGCTCATAAACACCTAACCAAAAACAACTTATCAAAACTGAAGCATCCCTTCAAAAGAAAACAGAAGATTTCAGCACTTACTTCTTGTTTTCTCACTCAATAGAGAATCTTAGATTGAGTTTATGAATAACTCTGCAGGTCAGGTGCTGAAGGAGACAACTTAAAGTATTATATTCCTTAGACTCTGCTCCCACAATATACACAGTTTAAATTATGGAAAAAAAGATACATTGGAAGTCTACTGTAAGCTAGGTCCAAGATTTAAGTCAGACTTTCAAACTCAGATTCAATCTCAGTGGAGACAAGCTTTAAACTGTACCACAAGGCAGCTTACATGGTATTTCTTATATTAGGGAATAAGCAACTACAATGCAAACGAGGATAGCAAGAAAAAAAATTCATGTTGAGACAGGTAAAAGTTTTAGCATAAAAGAGTAGGAACATCAAGAGAATCTGTAAAACGTATAATTGCACATTATCCATGCTGTAGCAGTCTCAGATTCTTCACATAAAGACACTGTGAGATAGTTAAGGAATAGGACCTCCATTTGCAGTGAGTTTTTACTTTTTTCTTTTAGTATCTACTTACGATAATGCATTAGACTGTCTTACTACTCTAAAGAAAACTAAATAAAGAGTAACTGTAACATACTCTAATGGCATCTGTACAATGTCATAAATTGTATCACATGTTCTTGCCAAACCATTATCACCTTTACTGTCTTTCTCTCCCTCTAATATATTTCTTTCCTAAATAAAACAGTGTTATTAACTTTTGTTGTAGATATGCTTCTGACAGAAACTATTAATTTAGGCTTAAATAGAATTTCTTACTTGTTTATAATGAGGCATCTTTTTCAGCATTTGGGTTTGTAATATATTATTTAGAAGTACATCAGAATAGGGCCCCCATTAACCTCAGCTGAGCTATGCCAGTTTATACTAGCTGAGAAACACTGGTATTATGGCATAGTACACACCACATTTAAATAATTTTAATTGCAGTTACATTTTCAAAATTATCTGATTTCACAGTAAGACAAACCTGCATACACCTGGATTTTCATTCAGAGTTAAAAGGGTATGTAATGAGATTACTTACTGCACGTTTTCTATGAATATGATTGCACAAAAATAAATTTTATTCAGAATTCACAGTGATACCTTGACTTTGAAACTGTCATCTTTTTTTCTCACAGAACAATAAGATCATGTTCTTAAAAGAACTCTTTGGAGACAAATTATGCGACTATTCAAACCTAATATCTTTTTCAGATTTTACATGAATCTGCACGAAACTCATGGATGAAAGCACAATAACAAACTATTGAAAACAAAACAGGTAAAGCCAAGACCAGTTATATTAAAAATTAATACTCTGTTTTTTTTCCAAACTGGGACACAAGAGGCAAGAATAAAGGCAAAACATAAAAAACAGATGAAATCATAGGTGTACGTTTCACAGTAACAAGCCATCAAGAGATGGCTATTCACCCACTTTCTCAAATTCGCTATAATTGAACTAGCTCAGGAAATGAATATTTTCAGTCCATAATTGCTCATCTAAAAGTCAATAGAGTGAAAGAAAAGGTGGAAAGGGAAAAATTTGAAGTTAAGATTATTAGAAAAAGTCTTTTGGGGAGCTAAGGGAAACATTTTGCATAGCTGTGATTCTAAAATCTAAGAGAAGCTAAACAAGGAGAATAAAAGTTATTTGAGAAAATTGCAACATATTCTTTTAATGATAGCTCAGTAGTGCTTTACAAACAAGCTACCTGAGAAAGACAAAGGATTTCAAATGCTTAGTAGCAAGAATATATTGTTGCAATTTTTATACAGAAAAACAACACTTTCATTTTTCAAGAGGACAATCAAAGTTCAAAAGCTAAGAATAGCTCCTGAAAAGGTAGCAGAGTGCATCAAGTTAAAGATAAAAAAACGTACCTTCTCAGGCTCCTCCTCCAATAAAGCTAATACACATTAAGATTGACAGCAATGCAGCTTTTTCCAAAATAGACTATCAGCTGTATCAGCTGTATATACTAACTCCATCTGCAGTGTTGCTTTATAGGTCAGGAGAGCGCTAATGTAAAACTAACAATTTGTCTAAATAACAGACTGTCAGAGCCTGTGCTCACAGGAGGATGCAGAAAATGAATGCATAGAAAGTGAGCACTATCCAGTATTTGCACAGGCTAATATGCTAACATGACTTTTTTAGGTGAGTATACAGGATAACACACGGCAATATCAATCAAGCCTCTTCCAACCACGTATTTTCATGAAGAGAACATCAAGATAACAACTAGAATTAGGTGAATTATAATGTTTTTCCTCTATTTTAAATAAAAAAAACATAATTTTTGGTCACATGAAAAATATAGTTATCTTTAAATAAAACCACTCTAATATGCAATTTTTGCTATAAAATTCCACCAGTAATTTGGACCTAAATGTCATCCGTCTCTGCTGGGTCATCTGACAAGTGAGGAGATATACAAGGAACAAGAAATGTGTGAAAAGAATAACACATTTGAAGCTCAGTTTTGTTGTCATTTGCATATTCATGGCTATTCAATACTCTCACTCAGTGTATTCTCAGTCCTGTTTATTGCAAGGACAATTTAATTCCTGTAAGGTTCTTTTATGTCACTTAGTAACATATAAGGTATGTATGACAGTATGTAAGAACGATACCTAAAGAGCTGTTTTGGCCCTGATATATGAAGATTGTTTTTCCTCTTCTGTTCATAAACCTTAGTTAATATTTAAGTATCACCTACTCAGAATGACTGAGGTTATGTTTTCTGAACTTTAGATTGCAAGCTCCATGGGAAAAGTTACAAAACTTTTTTTTTTTTTTTAATATTATTGCATACCTACCATAATAGTAATTTGAGAACTTTGAAATTTGAGTAGGTCAGAGAATTTCTTAAGTTGCCCCATTATCTTGGATAACTATAATTTGTTAATGTACTAAAAGATAATCATTAAGGCAGTTGTTCTCACCTGTATCCTTTCAACTTCTAAAAAAGTCGCTGTTTGGAAGGCTTTTTCCCATAGTGTTAGGTCAGACTCCAGTTCCACAGAAAAGTAGAGATCTTCCCCAGTTTCAGACTGGACACCAAAGCAATGTTTCCGTCGGTCCAGTAGATCACTGTCCTGATGAAAATCTGAAGTTATATAATCTGCCATACATCAATTAATACTTCTTACTGTAAATGTCTATGCCTCAAACCTAATATTTTTAAATGATATTTTAAATATTATAACACTGTAGTAACTACTGAGAGCTCAGGAACTAAAAATTAGGGTTTTGGCCTAAACACTGACATCTCAGAGAATCTTAAACAAGATATTTGTGTCCAGAATGGTACAGAACAACACAGTATATCTTAGTTTACAGAATGCTCTGGCATAACTTTAAATAATTTAATAAATCAATTCCCAACATATTGCGACAAACTTTTAAACTAGATAAATTCCATAAAAGCTGTCATTTTTCTATTCACCTGAGAAGAACAAAGAACAAAGAATAACTTCTCTAACCTATTGTATTCGCTCATCTTAGTGTGGAAAGCTGCCAAAAGAAGTAAGAGATTTATTTAAACAATATAAAAAGTCCATCTGTCCTGTTTTCTCTATAGAGGCTAAGTAAACAAGGCCATATTTGTGATGGCTTACAAAATCCAATGTAAAATTTATCCATTCTGCTAGTAGAGACTGTAGTGGCTGCCAGCAGTTAGGTCGCTGGCTTTGAAACTGGGAAAAAATATGTTACTTCTGGTTTTTCAACATAACAATACGCAATGGATATCAGATTGCAGAAATACGTAACATTTAATGGTTACTAGCATTTTTAATTGACAGTAAATCAAAGAATAACCTAGTTAACCAGGAAATCCATCACTAAAATGTTTTTAAATGATTTTTTTCTGAAAAATAGAGGACACTATGCAAACATTCTGGCACATAGTTCATCCTTGAGCAAAATACACTTGCAGGAAAAATTTTAATTAATTTTCTCCCGACTATAGTAAAGCAGCTGTCACAAGCCACAGACTCACCAGCTGTCCTTGCAAATACATCTGGAAATTTGGGTATATGTAGATTGGGTGCAACTTTTACAATGCTACCCTGTTGCAGAGGGCACAGATGAGATCAGTGCAGGCGACTCACTGGATAGGATTGCCTTTTGGTTATAGGCCAACTGTTTGGGTGCCCAGTGGACCATAACCAGCTGATACAAGTGGGAGGAACACCTTCCACTGTTCTAGTCAGCTCAGAGAGTCAAGAACCTATAACTGGCTGAGGATTTTTGTTTCTCGCACTGTCCAGGAGGTTTTCCCCTGAAAGGAGACTATGAACACAAAAAGCCAATAAATCTACACTGGTCTCTATGAAACTATTGTTCTTGGGTAGGTAAGTAGGCAGTGGTAGAATGAGCACTATATTCCTCCCTCCCTTTTATTCAGTAGACATGACAGACCTGCTCAAGAAAAGCCAGGACAGCACATATGCATGAATGCTCCTGGTTCAAATTTGCTCCACAGCTTCTAGAAAAATCAGCTATGGAGGAAATACACCCTCTCTGTGCAATCACCATGACAAAACTGAGTTGCTCAGATTTAAAAATCACCAGTCTTGGCAGAGCCTATCTCCTCCCTAACCTACATTTCATTAAGTCCTAAGCTTAGCACCTTAACAGCAGCAATTCATGAATGGAAAAATCAGAATGAGCACTGGCTTTTATATGTTCAAAATAACATTTCAAAAAATAGATATATTCCCAAATATATATTTTTTCCAAGACAGAAGGGCTATGTAGGTGAACTAGTTGAATGAAGCTAAATAACAGCATATCTCCTAGACAAATGCTTTTGTCCTTTTTTTCTCATTCTGGCCTCTGCTAAAACTAAAATGTCATTTTGCTCATGGCATGTTTTGACCACCTCTATGCAGTGCTCAAAAAAAGAGGTCATAATGTCTAGGCTGTTGTTAATGACAGCTATGCTCTACTGCACATTCAACCTCAAAGTGCACAGATAAGCAGCACCATGACAAACGTTTAATCTTGTGAATATGTGCAACAACAGAAAAGCCACCTCTCACTTCTTTGAGGTAGAATAGATATTTGTACAGTACAACCACACTTCTTGTCTAATCTTAAGTGTGGTCTAAAGTCCATTATTTTCCCAGGGCTACGCCCCGGATAACTGAATGGAACTCAGCTAAGAGTTTGACAAACCAATGTATAAGGTACATTTCACTCCAAGAGAAGGATTTAGCTCTTCATAGCTATAACCTAAGATGAAACTAAAAATATTTTGAACTCCTCTTCACTTGTTCTTGACAAGAGTCAACAGAATAATTTATTATTACTAATGCAATCATGCATGAACCTCTAATAAACCTTATTTGAAAAAAAACACTACGGCACTATGTGGGATCACAGGAACGGCTGTCACTAAAAGTAATTGAACTCATGGCCCCTGTTTTTAAATGGGAGGCAGCTTACTGCAATGCTTGGTTCCAGAATACATTTCTTTATTTCGTTTGGCACAGTTAAGGTTTGACAGCTTTTAAATCATGCTGTTAGTTTCTCCTGTTCTGTTAGGCTTTTTGCCTGTCCAGAAGAATAGGATATGGCTATGCAAACGGAATGACTTTTTGAGTAGAATGTGAAAAATAAAGGTGTCAAAAGCTACAGTGTCACAAGCTATAGTGGGACTGATCTTTATTAAAATGTCTTTGAAAAGTGCAAAAATCTCAGAATAGTCTTTTGAAGTGATTAAATAAAAATGTGTATTTCATTACTAGCATTGCAAGCAGTAATTGTACTCAGTTTTACTAAATATTCCATTACTCCTAGAGGATGAAAACAGAAAGGAGAACTAAATGGACGTACAATGTTAAACCATGTTTTTGCTATTTATCTATTCAAAGGAAGACATATTTTGATTAAGAAAATATACAGGTAGAATTTCCCCTCATTGATTTTCACATAAAATATTTCAACTACTATATCATACTGTGATACACAACACATATAATGTACTCACTAACAACACAGAGTAATGTAAAAAAATTAAAAAGATGACAAATAAAATTCAAAATAAAATTTCTTTATACCAGAAAAACATAAAAAACAAACCTGAAATATTATGGGACTTTATATTTTGTGAAATTCTTATTTAGAATGAAAAAAATCAATATGATAAATTTTACATAGAATAATAATTTTATTTTTTGACCAGTTCTAATCTGATGTTTTGTATGTACTCGTGATTTTATTATGCATGTCCATAAATAAGTCCAGGGTAAGAAAAATTCAGCTTATTTGAAAGGTATACGTAAGCTTAAAAGGAATTGTCAACATACTTATGAGATATACATTTCCTTCTTAATGTTATTTCATTCTGCTTGTAAAAATAATTTGGTAACTCTGCAAGGCTCTCTTTCCTATAGCTTCTACTCCTTTTTGCTATTAGACCTTTCTTTAGTCTTCCATTTGTGTTTAGGCATGTAAAAATTGAAAACTATATGCCATACTTATAGATCTAACCATCTTCTCAAACATACAATGGTTAACTGTAGGAGACAATATGTAGACAAAGTTAAAAGACAGCTATGTGAATGTCCAAGAGAAGAAAGAAATTTACAATGAAATTTCTCTTAGGAATCCAACTGAGAATTGTCCAAAAGTCTCTGCAAATTTAAGATAAACTTGTTAGGAGTCCCAAAAACAGGGCTGGATTAAGCAGGAATCCTAATTAATTTCTAAGACTGCTCATTTTGGCTAAAACATAAAATGTTATTCTACCCATTTAAAAATCAGCTATGATGCTGTACTTTTATAATCTCTTACTAATCAGTTATGGACATTAGCTGATTTCATGTTAATTTTTAAGAATTCTTTCACAGGGGTAATGATCAGCTGCACCATTGTCCCTGACGTTCCTTATGTGAATTACTACAGGTTCTCTGAAGTACGAACAGTCACAAAAGCCACAGCAGTATCCTAATTCCCGACTGGAAGGAAAGTATTCTTGCAGAAGGACCGACTGCGAGGAAAGTCTTTGGCTTATGACCAACTTCAGGGTAATGCAGCATCTCTGCTGACAGAACGATATGACTTCTGCTTGCCTAATTAATAACGATGTCCATGTTAAGTGAGAGTAATAAATTTGTCTAAGGGAACCAAGCATAGCTTATTAGCCAAGTCTTTTCTTATTAAGGCAGAAGGTTTCTTTATCACTTTATCACAGTGACATCATCTTCTCTTCTGCAGAAGGAATCTTTTCTCTTTCGAAAAGCTGTCCTCTCTGCTGTCCTCAACACTGCTCCTTTCGATTACTTGTGCCTTTTCATTTCATGCATAATGAGTCCAATAAATACTCATATTTAGGCTATTAGCCAGTAAAATACTCTAAGATGCAAGATGCTCTCATTTTTTAGCATAGGCAACGAGAGCTGAGTTCTGTGCATTATGGTCTGTGCAAAAGAAAACAAAACCAGGTTTAACTGCTTCCATGCTCGTGACATGATTTTTACCTAGGAGGAGGTGGTCAAGAACGGTCTCGCAGGCTGATTTACCTGCAATGTTATATAAAATATAAAGAGCAATTTGAGGATGGAACTGTAAATATTAATGACACTGGTGAGCAGTTTTTGACAGGAGCAATGATCCATGTAAAGTGTTCAAAACCATCCCAGTCAGTTATATACTTGCACAGACTAAATAGAGCTTGACAGTTAAGATGATTTCATTTCAGCTTTCAAAATGAAGTAAACGTTCATGTCTGTGAAATTAATTATAATAATTGTTAATAATACACAGATGGAAAGAACAGACAAAACCTGTTTCCTTTGCTGACGAGCTTAGACAGCTCTGAAAAAGAGAAATCTAAGCGGCCTGTGGTAACCAAGATTCCAGCCTACTACCTATATTCTCTGAAGACAGAAAGCACTCGCCCATCAACTCAAGAGTGCAGTAACTCCAAGGTATAGTAACTGTAAAAACTATTCAGACGAGACCTACAGGCCTCAGTGCATTGATTATTTTATTGTTTGTGCCTCCTCTCTTTCGCTTACTAGGTGTATGAACCTAAACAGAAAATCCTTCTTTCTAAGAGATTCTCATGATCTCTCTCTGTGGCTGC